CAAACTACGTTCCGGCAGCTATGAGAACAGACAAAAGGGAGGGGACATGAGCAGAGGAGGGAAGGCACTGGGAAATCACTGAAACAGTCAGCAGAGTGACGCTGAGGCCTCAAGGTCAGCCGCAGCATGAAAGCGGAGAGATGGAGAGGGTAAATGACGGAGAGGAGGAATTTCCGAAAGCAGGAAAGTTTAAGGCAACGCTCTCAGGTCTCCAGGTGGCTTATCATGCCCTAGGGCAGTGGTGGTGAGCCCATGGCATGCAGAACCCACGGCACGCATGCCGCAGCGGGCTGTCTGTTATCACTGAAAGCTCTACAAGGTTCACATCACTGCTCTAGGGAGAAAACAAAGAGCAAACAGGCTGAGAGCATGCCATTACTTCTTATGATCTGGTTTTGAGTATAATTTTGTGAGTTGATAAAGTATTCCCTAAGTACAAAATTCATTAATGTTAGAAAACATGTACAGGTACTTTTGAGATTAGAATGAGGTCTGACTTGAGCTGGGAACTTTGCTCAGTCACATGGCACTTCACCAGCCACCATGAGCTGAGAGCACCCACCATCTGCAGGGAGGGGTGAGCCCCTGAGCCCAGGGCAGCCCTCTACTTCAGTAACATGTTTACTACTCCGTCACCCTCACCAAGACTACAAGTCAGTCCTGCAGCACGGCCTTGAGCTTTTAGGGCTTGGGATTAAGGTGTACTTGGTGTACTGTAACTACCAGGCCCCAGAAGTGTCTCCAGAGTTACCAAAGCGCTGCTGTTTACGCAAAAGGAAGGTCACAGGGAATTCCCACACAGGCCACACCCTCATTCTGTAACAATAAAGAAGTGTGTTTGTGCTCACATTGTAAGTAACAGATTCAGTTATTTATCTCAGTCTGAACATTGGCTGTTAGAATGTCATTAATTTGCTTTAAAACACAGAAACAACAATAATATATTACAACATGTTACTTCTGCATGTTATATGGAAGTCTTAGTTCTAAAAATAGAGGAAAAAATAAGGTTTAGGGAGAAATATAAGAGATTAAGTTATGTGAAATACTTTAGTGAGCATCTCTAAATCTACCTGACACAATATTTCAATGACATTCACACAGTCACTGAAACAGCCTCATCAGGATTTCTTTTACAAAAAAATTATATATTTTCTTATTAAAATATTTTACTCTTTTAGACTGGCTGTCTTTCAAATTAGTTCCACCTTTTCCTATAACATAATACAGCTAATGTTTATTAGAACAAGGGGAGAGGCATACATACATTGGTCATGTTCTAAAACTGTAAATTAAAAACGTGAGTTATAATACATAGCTTACAAGCTGAAACAAAACCCCACAATTGTCATTACATTGTTTACAAACATTTCCCTCAGAACTTCCTAGGAGTTGAAGATTGACACCAAATGCGTTAAATTTAGAGATCTCAGGAAGTTTAGACAACCTCAGTCTACTGCATGAAGTTAGCACCCCACCTTGTGGAAAGCAGCAGGCAGCGTAAGCAGAAGCTTGTCAAGTTAGTTTCACAGGTTCTGACTGGTAAATCCTAAAGACACCAAACTGTAGTGAGACATACACAAACCAAAAATGCAACCCCTCAAAAAACAAAAACAAACCAAAAGAATTCCTATTTATGAAAACAACATCAAAACATTTACGCTTCCAAAATACAAGTATACTAGGCTCAAAATATTGGTGATTGTGATATCTGGGATCCTTAGTAAATAAATATTTCATATCAATACGTTGTTACTTCCATTGGGGCAGTACTGATTTGAATGTCATTTAGATACCTGAATGTGACTCCTTTTCTTGCTCTCTCTGAAGTTTTTGGTATCTTTATCGTTTTGAAATTGTAAATGACTTTTTTTTATTGTGGCTACAGGTTAGGTTAGGGTAAGGACAGTTTGAAGGTCATGTCCTTCTAGCTCTGGGAATTTACCCTGGTTCACTATCCTCGTTTTGTTTTGAACTTTTCTCCTGTTTCTTGTTCTTTCCGGTTAGTGGACCTTCAACATCTAGTTTAATTGTGTAACTTTATTTTTATCTATTGTTTTTATTCTTTTTATGTTTCAAATCAGAGTTCTTTAATGTAATTTTCCCAATCCTCTATGTATTTTTTTCTTTCCTGCAATCAAAACGTTAACACCCCAGTCAATATCTGGATTTTAAAAAAATCTTTCTTTTTTAAAGGTTATAACTGTCCTCTCCTTTCTCTGAAAATAATTTTAAGTACCCCCCGACACACACATGTAAACACAGCCTTCACTGCCCTTTTCTGATTCCTTCTCTCCAAGTTCCTTTTGCTCATTGTAGTTTTAGTTTCTTTATGGTACAGGCATTTCCCCATATCGCTGGCCATCTGTAGATACTGGTTCAAACCAGTCACTGGTAAGGAGGAGGAGTGTGAGCTGTCATGTGACAGAGTTGGGGAGGGCATGCAGTAATACCTAGCAGATGGAGACCAGCGTTGCTAAGCGGTTGACAACACACAGGACATTCCCCTACAACAAAGATTTACTCAGCTCAAAATGCCAACACTGGCAAGACTGAGAAGTCCTGGCTCCTATTAATGAATGTGGCATTGAAGGGCAGACGGGAAGCTCTGTGTTACTGGGCAGGGCTCATTAAAGAGTGAAAAATAGTCAGGATCCACGTGTTAGAATCCATAGTTCTGTTCTTTTTGGCAAGTCAGTTTCTTCAAAACTAACCCTCAATTTCCTGCCTGGAGGATATAAATGTGTTCTGGGAACTGGTACGGAAATGAATCCAAGTATCGATACACGTTAGGGGGACAGAGTAAGTATGCACTCCTCTGAAGCTATTTTCAGGGTACTATTTCACACCATTCTCACTTTGGCTTGGTGCTTCTGAAGCCAAAACCTCCTCAGTCTAACCTCTCCAGGGTTAAAGCTCTGTTTTCCCACCTGTGGAGGGTATGGAGGCTGGGTGTCTAATTGCTCTGTAGGCAAACTTCAACCAAGAGGCCTGTTTTCAGCCCCACCCTGTAACCCGGGCTCCAGAGGAACCTAAACACTTGTATTCTTTATTCGTGAGCGTTAGCACTGCTCAGTGATGCTATTACTAACAAAGGCTTAAGGTTTCCGGTATTTATGCTCTTTCCTCTCCAACTGCATCAAGAACTTTTTCAGGCCAAGAAGCCCTTCCTTTTCATACTTGTATTCTTTATAGAACTCAGTATAAATCTGCATACAGAAACTGCTTAGGGTCCACATTTGGTTTTCAAAAAGGATTTTACTTTCGGGAAGCAAAGGTTGCAGTAAGCTGTCCAGCCTATCTCAGACAAAGCACAGTATCTGAAACAAAATACCAGAACTGCTACCTCAATAGGATGCCTGGTGAAGAAAGCCTTTATTTTTTTTTCTTGGTACCAGAAATTGAACTCAGGACCTTGTGCTTGCCAAGCAGGGGCTTGTGCCACTGAGCTATGTCCTTGGCCCCTTTCTTTTCTTTTCTTTTCTCTCTTTTAAGAAAGCCTTTAGAATAGAACTTTCTCAGTGGGTATGGTGGTGTACATCTGTGATCCCGGCTATTTGGGAAGCCAAGACAGGAAGATCACAAATTCAAGATCAGCCTGGACAACTCAGAGACCCAGTCTCAACATTAACACTGATACTAACAGTAGTAGTAGCAGCAGCAATGATAATAGTAAAAAGCCAGGCTGTAGCTCAGCAGTCAAGCCCTTATCTAGTATGTGCAAACACCTGGGATCAGTCCCAAGTACTGCAGAAACAAACAAGCAACAAAACTTTCTCCAGGTGGACGAACTACTCCAAAGATATAGAAAGCCTTTCCAAATTCAAGAACGGAAAATCATGCCTAGCAATAACACGATATTTCCAAAAACTAAATGGAGAAGCCTTTCTCCATCTGCCCCTCCCGCTCGGGTTAGTCCGCGACACTGGAGATCTCCACGCTCTCCTCTCCGACGCGCTAGAGTTCAGTCCTCCACTGCCTCCAGTCCTAGTCTGGTCTCAAAATTCAGCCGTGTGCTGCCACCTGGTGGCGCCACAAAGAGATGTCGTCGACTTGGGCTAGGAGGCGGCTAAGGAAAACGATACAGTACAACAGCAGAAATTCACCACACTAAGAGATTTTCCAGGACAGTTCTGTACTTTCCTGCGGTAAGAAGAAAGGGAAAGTGAGGTGGAGAAGAAAGATTGGGGAAACAGAGACGAAGGAGAGGGAGAGGAAGCGAGTGTGTGGATTTAAGGAGGTTTTGAATCAGTGCAAGGACAGCCTGGGAAGACCCTTTGAGTGCCAGGAGTGTCTAGGTCCTCCGGCCACGACAGGGGCTGCTGACTGGTTTGGACGACAGAACACACAGGGTTAGGGTCAGGGTCAGGGTCAGGGCGCTCCGCGGAGGCACTTCCCAGGGTCAGCGACGGCAAAGCAACTTCATTCCCAAAATTGATCACAGTGAAAACTTTGAAGTCGTGTTTGATTCTTTTTTTTTTTCCTCCAAATCCCCCTATTCCTACCCTCACTGGTGTAAGGCACAAAATCTCCTGCTGGATTGCTGCGCCAGCCTCCCAGCTGGATTCCCTGATTTCAACCTTGCCTGCATGTAACACAGCAGTGAGAGTGATCTGTCTAAAGCAGCAGTCAGACATGTCACTCCTGAGCAAAACCTCCTCAGAGCAGGAGGAGACATTTAACACGACCTGCGAGGCCCTCTGCTGCCCGGCCCTCCCCGCCTCTCACCCCTCTCCTCTTGTCTCTCCCTCAGACCCTGGGACGCTGCCATCCACCCGCCTCAGGCGTCTCTGCAGACCATCCCCTCTCCCTGAAATGCTGTTTTCCTAGCTGTCGCCGTCTTCACGGGCCTACGAGTAGTTGAACCTCCTGCCCCACAACACCACCCCAGGCTTGCGCAGCCCTCTCTCAGCTGGGACCGTTTTCCACTAGCTTCAGTATTTTCCTGCTCACTCACTCGTGTCACACGTCTTCTCATCCGGCTCAAGCTCAGTACGCACCATGACGGCAGAGTGTTCCCGCACGGCTTTGTTCACGGGTGCACTGTAAATCTGGAGAAACTGAAAATATGAGTCCTAAATTTCTGGTATGGCCTGCAATGCCTTCTGTCATCTGGCCCCTGGCTTCCGTACTTATTTACATCAGTATTTAATTTCTCTCAGTAAGATTTCACTATTGTATCCACTTATTCCTTTTATGAAAGATCTTTTCCCACTTTAATATATAAGGTACTTTTTTATTGTTTTCTCTAGTAGTTAATGCTAGCATATAAGAGAGTTACTGAGTTTTGCGTATTAAGATTGTACCTGAGACTTCTAAACTTCTGTTACTGGTCTTTCTTGTTTCTATATATTTATAGAATATATGACTTTATTTCTTCTTTTTTAGCATTAATACCTCTTATTTTACCTTAGATGAAAGATCAAAATAATATATATGACTAGAGGCAGTTATTTTTATTTTGGTTTTGATTTTAGAGGTAATGCCTCTTAGCACACATTGACTTTTGGCTTTATATACACTTTTTCATATTAAGAAAATCACTGAAAATGTTAGAATAGTGCAATGTTTTAGGAAGCTAAATGTGGACAGCCCTGTGTATTAATGTGATTCAAGAAGACTAGGGTCTGAAGCAACAGCAGCATTTATAATGTTTCTATATAATAGGCCTTTCAGTACTGAAATTATTTAAAAATATGAATCGGGGGGCCAGGAATACAGTTCAGCAGAATTGTGCCTGCCTGGCAAGCATGAGATCCTGAGTTCAATTCCTGGTACCAAAGGGGAAAAGAAAATGAATTGAGGACACGGCTTTTATTTAAAGGAGAAAAAAGGCAGTTTTGGATACCCATTACATAGGTTTCTACCCCTCACATTCATACTCTCCTAATTTCTATGAGTACTACAAAACAGGAATTCAACAATCTGCTAGAATGCTACAGAAAGAAAGGGTAGAGAGGTCCTTTAATATTACCAAGTTATTTAACTTGGGCTTATTTGTTTTTTATGTTTTTTTCCCCAATTAAAATAATATCCACACTTACTGTGGAAAACTTGAAAAGTTATAAGAATATTTGGGGACTGTAAGTATGCATTCTCATAGTAATTAGCGAGAAACTAAGAACAAGGAAATGTTACATCATTACTATAGATTACTAAGCAATCATTAGAAGGTACAAGGTAGACCTGACCTATCAACATGGAAAGCTATGAGGCAGTGTTTTGTTTTTGTTTTGGTGGTGCTGGAACAAAGGCCTTATACATGGCAGGCAAGTGTCCTACCACCGAGCTGTAAACTCAGCCCAAGATGCACAGTTTAGTAGACAAGACATAGGGCGTGCTTTATAAGCTAGCTATAACCCACTCCAACAAACCCCCAACATGGGATTGCTGTACATGTGCACAGGTAACCCATAACACCTGATCATAGGCCGGGCCCTCCCCGCCTCTAGTGGGAGGAAGAAAGCACTGGCAGGAGAGAATTTCAGCTGGTACAGTGGTTACTTTATACCCTTCTCTATGTCTAAAATTTTAAAGTCAAGAAGCAAATACACAAAAAAGAAAAAAATTAGAAAGAACAGGAAAGAGGAAAGAACCAGAAAAATGCACACTGCCAGTTACTTCTGGGATATACAGTAAACATGTGCTGAACTAACTGCTTAGCACAGTGTCTCGTATGAAGTCAGCACTCAGGTAACAGTCATAGAATCTAAAAGGCCAAATCATGGTGTGACAGAAGTTACAAGGAGTTAAGGCTTGGTTGTCAAGGGAGAAGCTTCGAGACAAAGCTCAGCTTCAAAGCAAATAAAACCCACAGTGCAATGCCTGAGCCTCATTTCCTTCCATGTTTTGCAGAGTAGGAGGCTGGAGAACAGCTCAGTGAGAACACAGTTTCTCTCCATGAAGAAAGCTCTGCTCTGAGTTACCATTTACCTTTATATAGCTCTGACAGTTGGTTCTATTTGGGAAGATTACTATACAATTTTTACTGAAAGATATTACTTTTAGCTACTCTTTACTTTAGAACTAATCCCAGTGGAAATTAATTTTTCTTTAGAAGGATTTCAAGATGTTTTTTCATGTAAGTAATTTCACAGCCAAACTTTTTTTTGGCGAGGGGATGGGAGAGCTTCTCTCTTCATACTTTTCTAGTCTCATTTGCTGGTGGTCAAGGGAAGCCTGTTTCTCATAAAAATGTAAACCACCTGGAGAAACACAGGTTAAACAATAGAGTTAAAAAATATACCAGGAATAATTACTTCTCTCTCTTCTTGTGTAATTGTAACTAGGGTGAATTAAAACATACAAAAGACATTAAATGCCATTAAAAATAAACTGAATCAAAGGAATCAGGAGAAATTTTGATGAAGATTCTGCAACAAAAGTAGGCCATCTCTAACTTTTAATTAGTAAAATGATGTTTTTAGTTTAAAAATTAGGCTTAAAAATATGGTAAATGCTAACATTAATTTTTCTATAAACCACAAAAACATTTAATGATTTATTAAATAATTTGAATTCAGAATAAGTGATAAACCAAACAAGAGAAAATTCCTGTTACCCGAGTGACTCGAAGTTATTAATGCAGTAATCTGCATCTTCTGATTTCTGGGAAGTTCTTTATGTTTTTGGAAGATCAAGCCTATGCTGAAAATGTAGGTTTTGGCTTCTCACCAGGACAAAATGTAAATCAATGCACTTTTGTTCCTGATTTGGTCAGAGTGATAGGGATGACACCCCACTCAAGTATACAAAATGGTTACTGTACTGTTAATGCTTTATCATGGTGCACATTTTCTAGTTCAATTAAGAAGTCTAAAAAATTAAATCATCCCTAGACAGTTCAAGACCTATAGCACAGATTATTGATAGTAAGGAAACTGTACTTGGTAAGGTTACATCAGAAAACAAAACATGAGGAAAACCAGAGGAGGGCAGAGTGCTATTTGCATGAATGGTAAAGAACAAGCACCCGGAGGGTACATCAAGACTTTAATTGGGCACTAAATCTGACTTTGCTTCTGACAGAATGGCAAAGGAAACTAACTTGAAAACCTTCTGTGAGTAAATTAAAATGTTGTAAGAAATATAACAATGTATTTTTTTTACCTGAACTGTGAAGAAGGGAAGGAAAATGTCCACCTGCCAGAAGCAAGAAGCAAATGACAAGGAAGAGAGGCCTGTGACTCTGAGGTCTGGGGAAAGAGGCAAAACTGGACAGAAGAACTAGGCTCGGCTTAGCAACCCTGCAGGTTAGGGAACAGAGGCCTATTAAGGAACAACAAACTGGCCATGGCGCCCCATGGCAACACCAGCTCCCTGTATTGGCGAGAGTGCCCTGAAGTGCAGTTCTTAATCCTCTTGGGTCTTCTATTACTGAATCCTTGGGTAATGAAATCCCATTTCTTCTTCCAAGTACAACCATCTACATGTAAACGGCTTAAAGAAGCAAAATTAGGAATGAATCTGTACAGCTATAACACAGATTACAAAAACTGTAATAGAATATTATGAAAAGTAATTATGCTAAAATGTTTCCAAACTTACATAAAATGAATACATTTTAGAAAAATATCTCAACAACATAGAAAAAATTGAAAACCTGAAGAAGAAAGTCTTGAGTGCCATGATCATAACACTAAGAACACAAATTGTCTAAGTGGTTTTATTAACAAATTTAATAAACCTTTAAAAAAATTCTATTCTTACACAAATTCCTCCTGAAAACAAAAAATTATGTACACTCCACAACTCGTGTCGTGAGTCTATGTACTTTCAAGACCAAAACTAAAGAAGAGTACAAAAGAAAAGGCAATCTTGCTCATAAACATGTTAAAAAGTATAAAAAATATGTTTAAAGACCAAATTTAGTAATATATTAAAATATAAAACACCATAAGCAAACCAGGTTTATTCCAGGCACTCAAGAATAGTTCATACCGTATTAACTGTCTACATAAAAAGATGAAATTAAAAAAATTATACTAACATTTCAGGTGCAGAAAAGGCATCTGATAAAAATCAACAACCAGCTGGATATGGTTGTACACACTTGTCACCCAGCATTCTGAGAGGCTGAGGCAGGAAGACTGCAAGTATGAGCCCAGCTTGGGCAACTAAGACCCAGTCTCAAAATTTAAAAATTTAAAAAATTCCCTAGTACCACATATACACACAAATAATTAAAAGAAAACCTGTTGGAATATTTTTAAAATCAGAATGAATAAAAGGATGAACAATAAACTGCTTTTATTTGTCACTTCTGTATTTATAACAAAATAAAAAAGCATTCATACAAGAAGAAAGAATCAGAATAGTTTCTATTTGATGAGACAATCTTCATAGATAACAACAATTTATAAACAGATTGTCAGGATTAATTAGATTGTGGCAAGGTAGCTCTTGATAAGATGGCTGTATAAAAATCAATTGTATGGGGCTGGGGATTTAGCTCAGTGGCACAGCACCTGCCTGGCAAGTACAAGGTCGCAAGTTTGATTCCTGGTACTGGAAAAAAAAAAAAATCAATTGTATTTCTATATACCATGACACAGGAAATTTCATTAAAGATTTATAATAATACCAGTAACAATATATCTAAAAATAAACACAACAAAAGATATACAAGACTTATGAAGATAATTAGAAAATATTAAAGCAAAATTTTAAGGGACAGCTACATAAAGGATAGATATTTTGGGATAGAAAGACATGATCCTAGAGAGGCAAGTTCTTTCCAAACTGATGCTTTCAATATAATTCAAATAAAAATGCCAGTGCTCTGACGGAACTTGTCAAAGCTAATTTAAAAACCTATGCCAAAAAGAAAGACTAAGTCTAGAGCAATAGCACATGACTGCAATCTCCACTACTTAGGAGGCTGAGGCAGGAGGATTTCAAATTTGAAACCAGCCTGGACAACTCAGTATGACCCTGTCTCAAAATAAAACAAAATAAAATGGGAAGGGAAAATAGCTCCATGGTGGAGTGTTCCTGGGTTTATCCTGAGGGAGGGGAGAACAACTAAACCACTTCTGAAGAATAAGGAATTTGGTATTAG